TGGAGACGGAGGAATAACCTGGAAAACATAAGAATATAGATAATGCTAGTAAACTGTAATAATAAATTTGACTATTTATGGGGGCCACGTTGTAATCTTAGTAACTCTGAGTTGTTATTCAATTAACTAGAGCACTGCTCTACAAGCCACCATATTAAATCTCAAAAACTTTGGTGTCGTGCTTCGTACTTCAATCTTCCAGAAGAACAACGTTCACTCCTTCCAAAACTGTCCAACCTGAAGTTGGCATTGGGTCAGCCATCAGACATTGTAAATGTCTACTTATGAGGGGAGTGAATGGGGTTTATGCAACAACTGGACCAAGTCAAAGTGACAATGTGTGGATGGTAACACAAAGGGGGGGTTGTACGTCTTCAGCAGTGAATCAGAAGGTGGGTATAGACCGATTACCTGGGCAAGCATCAGTTCACGGGGACAACATATACGATGGCGCCAGCGAAACAGGTAATTAGTTGGTGGTCACGGTCTTCAGTGTAAACATTATGGGTCTTCCGGGTTTCTTTGCTAAGCGTGTTTTTGAGTTGGTTCGTTGATTATGCTCTATTATTTCAGGAACATAGGAAGTAGGTATTGTACGCTTATAACTAGTCGCTTGTCTACAATTCACGGATATTATCCAGTAAACCAGTGGTTTTACAGGAAGCGTGAGCACAACACACAAGATAGGACCTTCTGAGGCCCATGAGAGGGGAATGAACTTGAAAGTTGTTCGAAGTTTCTGAGTTTTTGGAGGACGATAAGGCGGACGTTTCTTCGGAGCACTTGGAATGTCCAACTCTGAATTTCGGGCTTGAACGGCTGTTAAAGGAGATGATATGCTGAACCACTTATCATGTTCGACTGTGCCAATATTTAATTTCCTAACGCCAGTATCACTACATTGTTACCGTTTGTGATTGTTTCGTATAGGATCTGTAGCTCATGGTTGAATTATAGTCGGTTGTAATCGACATCGTGCTAGTATTGTTGTACCAGTGAACAAAATTCCTGTAATTGTTGAATAAACAGATCACTGTGTCATTGGTTGTTTACTAGTTCTGGCTTGGCATTCGAAGATAGTCAACTACACTGTACTTCATTCTCTGTCAAGAAATAGATATTCATACCGCATATAAGGTTGATGATTAGGATCGGAGTGCGTGTTAGGTAACACGAATCCTATCCACCTTGAGATCGTTAGCTAAACTGAATGAAGTTAGTTTCAACACTCTCTTGACTTGGATAAACGCTTATTCGTTTATGATATCGTTATTGCTTTTTTGGGAGGAGAGAGATGTCTGCGGTAAAATAATCCGAAGTAATTCGAATTTCGGAGTTCTGGTTACTGAACTACGATAGTTCTCTCAAAATTGCAATCACAAAAAAGTGACAAGATAATCTCAAAGTTGATTCAAAGCCATTTAAATCTACCATCTTCCATCCATCGAAGTGGGATGTGGGAAACAGTGGTTTAGTCTATAAGCTAGCTGTCGTTGCTGATTACCAGAAAGCAGATCTCGCTTGAAGAAGCTTATAAACGATTCATAAATTAAGAGAAGTTTGATAGCGATTTTCAGTCCTCTTCATTGTGTACACTGAAGTCTTGTATTAGATACCGGTTTCATGTACATATGTATGGGACCGGGTTTACGAAGTTCATTAGGTGAAGCGGCTGCAGATAAACAACTGATTAAAGAAGTTTACCTTGAAAGGAGCTATAAAGTAGGATTAAATTTATGCGTAGCGTATAAAATGGTGTATGATCTAGTGTAAAGAAGATAAATGTTGTACAAGTTGTGCATAAAAAGCGTTTCGACTTCTACATTTTCATCTTAATATTCGTGTGAGAAAATCACAAACTTACAGGTGGCCAATTGCATTTGATTATGTCATGTGCGATTTCGGTGTAAACTGTACTCGATTCTGGAGCATGAGTAGTTAACTATACAGCCAATCAGCTATAATTTACGTACAGCATGGTATATATTTATACGAGCTCTTGGTGTCCACACGAGATTCACACTATGAGAAATAATTGTATTAGCAATGACAATGAGAAAGACTAAGGGTTTCAAATATGGTTTGAAATAACAGAATAACAAGTTTTGTATGAAAAAATGTGGTGAGTATATTCTAGCAATGTAATATTTATTTTTGACCTTCGTTTAACATATGTGAAAGGCAGTACATTATCATAAGTAACTCACAGACAATACCTGTTACTAATGTGGGTTTACTGGTTATGTAGATAATTCATGGGGAGCTGTAATTCGCTTTTACCTAATTTACACTGTCCAGTTCATGTGACTCCGTTCCACATGATAACAAACTGTCATACCAACACACGCGTCACGCACATAAGTCTAAAATAACGAAAATGCTAGTGAGATTGGGAAATACACAAATTGGAAAAATGTGGTACGTTCCTTATGATAAGTTGTTGGGGGACTTACACAAAAGTCTTTGAAACTGGTTATTCTTTATTGCTAGCCCAAACCTTTCGTCGAGAAAGAACCACAAATATTAACCGTCTACGCTTTTACTTTTGTTCAATGCACGTAAATCCCTCTGTGCAAATGAGATGATTTGTGTAGCCAAGAATAATCTTTCAAAAAGAGTATGCCATGTACATGTGGATTATAGTTGTGGACCTAAATTTAAAAGAAGATGACTAACTAGATTAAATTCAGTGTAATCTTGTCGGATCAGTGCTCATTTATATCTTTATAGCGATGTTTGTAATATGTTTTTTGTTGCACTATCAGGGCATAGTTTTAGTATAACGTCCTGATTTATAAACACAAATCTTGCCGGTCCGAAGCCCGAATAAAGGAGGAGGGTTGGGCTTGGGGTTAATGATCCAATCCCGTAGAAAACTAACTCGTTAAAAAACGTTAGCCGGAAAAGATTATTCGAGCTTTTTAAACTCTGCCCTGAGATTCAGGAGGTCTTCAGTTAGAAGAGTTATGATTCCTCATGATGAAACCCGAGTTCCTTCGGAGGTCACTGGGACGATGCCCCTTCTGACAACCAGAGCAACCATTTATTTAGGTACACGGAATATTCAAGAAAGGAGGAACAAAAAGACAGAAATCAATACCAGCAGAACAAGTGCAGAAAAAGCCAAGGCACAAGCTGAATACCCAGAAGTGAACAAGCGAGTGAAGAAGAGCAGCAGAACTGTCAAACGTAAATATGTTGAAGATTTAGCAATGACGGAGGAAAAGGCTGCAAGAGAAGGGAACATGAGACAACTGTATGACATAACAAAGAAACTCTCTGGAAATCACCGTAAGCCAGAACGAGCAGTGAGAAGCAAGGAAGGTAAGCTAATCACCAACATTGAAGAACAACGAAACAGGTGGGTAGAACACTTCAAAAGCTCTTGATTCGACCAGCCCCACTGAACCCACCCGACATCGAAGCAACACCAAGGTCAGGATTTTCAATACAAATGTCAAGACAGTTCTACTGTATGGGGCGGAAACTTGGAGAATCAAGAAATCCATCATCCAGAAGATACAAATATTTATTCACAGTTGTCTACGCAAAATACTTCGGATCTGTTGGCCGGACACTATTAGCAACAACGTACTGTGGGAGAGAACAAACCAGATCCCAGTGGAGAAAGAAATCAGGGAGAAGCACTGGAAGTGGATAGGACACATGCTGAGGAAAGTACCCGACTGCGACACAAGACAAGCCCTCACATGGAATCCTCAAAGCCAAAGAAAAAGAGGAAAACCAAAGAACACATTACGCTGGGAAACGGAGGTAGGCATGAAAAAAATGAACAAGAATTGGATAGAACTAGAAAAAAAGGCTCGGTACAGAGTGGGTTGAAGAATGCTGGTCAACAGCCTATGCTCCATTGGAAGTAACAGGAGTAAGTCAGTAAAAAGAAATGTAATTTCTACACAAAATAAGATGGTAAATAAGTGCTTTAGTTATTATGTTTGAATCGTAATATGCGGTTCCTGGTTAACTCTTAATCCTTTCAGGTTTAAAGTTATAGTGTTGGCTATTATGTTGAACCCATATACTTTATTCTAGCTTCCGGCCAATCTATTCATTCTATTTGAGTCATATTTTGACATCGTTAATTATTCGCTTAATCTTGACTTTTTATATAAACGTATGTGTGTACATTTCCTGTCCTATTCATCACATGTTTGTAACTTATTTCCGTGCGATAATAAATATTAGTTAACGCTTGACTGAATTGAGTTGGCTCACATGCCTTCTCCATTGCGCGACATTTCGCTTCGCTCTATTCCATTCGCTTCATATACAAAATATACGTATCATTCATTACCCAGACGTTCATTCTCGTTATTTGACCTACGTAATTATGTTATTTACGCAACGCCGATTAAGTCGATAAAGATATACAAGGATGGTCAGGATGTACATTTTGACATTCATACGATCAAATTGAAGTCCGATCACGGACCACTGAAAAGTTAACTGCATAGTACAGCCATCAGCTAGCAAAGGAATAATTGAATATTTAGACCATTTTAAACATTTATCAAAGGCTTTAGGGTTGAAACATTTGACACTCCAATCTTTAAAAATTCGGAACTCCCCTTACAATATTTTATACCAGCAACCACCTCACATTTCATTGAATGTAATCATGAACATACTTTGCTTGTCAGTAGTTCACTGAGAACCCATATAATCAACCTTCTAAACCAGCGTAGTGAGATCTGTCTAATTGCCCGATGCCTTATAACTCAATCCAAATACCCTAAATAGGGATTTGATAGACTTTCAGTTTTACTGTTCCATTTATACCTGAGACTAGTTACTTGGATAAGTTGTTTCAGACAAATGAAATAACAACTTGGCGGAGGCATTCGATTTTATAGGAGATGGTTTTCATGAAAATGAACACAATACATATGCCGTATTTGTGAGATCATAGGTGTTTTAAAACTTCAAACTACATCAATGGTGTTTCGCTTCATAATTCTGCGCTTATTGAATTTCTTCAAATGACCAAAAGTAGGGATAGTACGAATCTGGGAGAAGACGATACATCTGTCATAACTAAGAAAGTAAGCTGGTATATTCTTAAAGCTATCGACTCGGGCATGTGACTAGAAGTTCTTATGATATTCATAATTAAAAAATGTATGTACATACATGTACATACATAGATGTTGAAATTTCAACATCTATGTATTCCAGTAAATAATTCACTGAGCTAAACATATAGAACGTTGATCAAAATATTATATAACACACTGGATTTATAAAGCGGAAAACGGGGTTCGGATATATTTGGTTTTATCTAAATAATAACTTACTCGAGCAGCAGAGAAGGGAAATGATGCGAAGAAGTATTGTGGGAAATTCTACTTCACCCCGAAGACAATTTGAATTCTAGGGAAATGTTTCGGTGAAGGGTGGCTCGTAACCCTCATGAATTCTACAAGTTGTTTTAAATTAAAGAATTTTCCAGTCTTTCAACGTTTAAGAAAACGTGAATAACACCAGTCTTTTGAACCAATTCCCGTTTAGCCGCAAATCCTTCAATATTGTTCATATATGAACGTCCCATATATGGGGTGGGAAAGACATATACGTTCCACATAAATCTTAATTGGATAAGTTTAGACTAAGTATCAGTGTTTAGTTGAATATATTGATCGAATATAGGTACGAGATAAGTTGTTTTCACTGCCGATACTAAACTGACTTCAGATGTAATATACTGTATTTATATTTAAATATGGGATAGGAGTATATATACCTGACCAACAATATGCAAAAGAAGCTCATTGAGTGATGATTAGTGTCGTATAAATGTGTGTTAACCACTGGAAATTTTGTTCCTAAGCTATTAAATCATGGCTCATGACTGAGAAAAATAATGCAGAGATATTCGCTTTTGAATATACTCAAAACCTTAACATCTGATAAATATTTTTACTTTTGGTTTCCTTATTTTTGTTTGTGCAGTTAGTGTACTTATTTCCAACGAGGTATTGATCTATTAGCATGGAGTATCAGTCCTGTCTATTAATTCTGTCGTCGATCACGATACTTCATGCGCTTTGTTCTTTGTTATTTATCATAGCTACCGTTTTAAGGCCGAAGTAGGAAGTTCGTAGTTAACTTTTGTTCCCCTGTCATATTCACTTGAAAAAGTTTCTTTATTAGTCGTGACTGAAGTGACTCACTTAAACTCCATTTAAAAATCACAAACATGGACTTTAGTTTTCATTTTTATTAGCGATTGACATTTATCTCTTATGTTTTGTATGAGGAAACTTGTAAGTAGCCTAATGTCATGAGTTTATAACACGCAAACTCTCATTCTTTGCATTGAGTCATTGGATGCGGAATATCCGAACGATAAATAGAAGTGGTTTTTAAGAAACTTTTGTCAGGTGTCAAGGAAGTGACTACAAAATCTAGCTTATGTAGTTGATATTGTGCTGTCATTGTGAACAGACTGTTAGATGTTGTAAAACTGGTTTGTGAGAAAAACTGCTGCATTCAGAGCACGTTTGTATTATTAATGTGGGCTGTTTTACCGCTAATATTATGCAAAGTGAAAGTTATTGTTGCTTTTGTTTCTGGCTTTGCTTTATTAAACAATTTTCTGGGATTGTGTCATTTCATGGCGTTAATAAACATATATGTGCGTGTTTTAAGCTGCATTCAGATAGAGTTGGATCATATAATCACCTTCATTTATTATTTTGAACGTTTTAATACAATTTGTGCAGAAAAAGACCTGTTTCCTGGGAATGTATTCAAGTTAAAGTTTTTTGGGTATGTGATACTCGTTGCTTTTTACCCATTAGCATATTCACAACGTGGTGAGGATAAGATAGCACTTAGGATTAGATTCACACCAAAGAACGCAACAGACTAACCGGAAATAACTGTAATATCACAATTTTCCGATAAACGGTGAACCTAAGCTGCGTTGCAGCAGAAAAAAATAATATTGGATTTATTAAACACTGACTAGAGTGAAAACAAGCATTGTAAAGTTGACCCACTCCCTTGTGAAACAGACCTTTGGATCAAGTGTTGCATGTTTACATTTATCTAAGGTCCCTGCGATGTCTAGAAAAGGCCATACAGGTCCAGGCGCTGAACTAAACCCTAGAGCTAAAAGTACTAATATACCGGTTACAAATCACTGGTCATTTATACACGATCAAACTGAAGTGTTCGTTAAAAGTAGGAGGTAGCCAACGTGGAAAGCCATGTTTCCACGTTATCAGCATGTTTGTCTGAACTTTAAAGGGTTGTAAACAGATGAACCTGAAGGCAAGTCTCCAAGACAACTACAAGTTTTTCTCGGCTAGTTATATTGAACAAACATGGTAAATTTTAGTCGTTTTCATAAACTTTGGTTGTTAAACTAATTTTCGAGGCATATAAAACTTGAATAACTGATTTTTTGTATTCAGTAGGGTTGATAGTTATTCTTAACCTTTCTAATTCTTCATCAAGGCTTTATTTTAGTTTTAACTACGAAGTGTCATGATCGTATCATTATTTTGATATGCTAAGGTTAGTAGCTTACAAAAGAGTTTCAAGTATAATTTACAACTAAAATTGTTAAAAGTCCCGTATAAAAATGACTAATTTGACTTCTTTTTTAAAATATTTAGTCAGATATAGGTCAGCATTTTCTACGTGCTGCCCGTGCTGGAAATATTCAAAAGGTTTTGGTACTCATCAATGAGCACAACGCAGATGTACATGCCTGTAATGCAGTAAGTTCAAAAGGATAGTAAAACATAAATATTTGTGTATTTTATGTTTTGCTTGTAATTTTCACTATTTTATATATCGATGTATTATGTTTAATTGTGAATTTGTTTGAATTATCGTAGTAATTTAATATTTATCACTGACTAATGAATTATTTTAAATTTTATTCTGGTAATCGGTTGAAGGAAGATGGGAGACCATAAACTCAGGTATCTTGGTAGTTGGTACTCGCTAGCAATACGTTACTTTAGTCTTTGAGGAACTAGTGCTACCTGCGGTATTAGAAATCGTATCATCCGGCTTCATAATGTAAGACGTTACCATTGAGTTATTCAAGCCGCAGCTAACCTCCCTTAGGGCTGACATGTTGATAAGAATTTGGTCACTGGTTAACTGTCAGCATCATTTTTGTATGACTATTCTGTGCTATTCAAATTCACATATTAAGTCATTATAAATTCTTGTAAAAATGGGAATATGGAGATCGTCATTGATACTTTTTAAACTTTTAAAGTCATTTTGAAATAATTGTAGAGAATATTCGTATATTTTTAGTATTTACTTTAAAAAAGTGAGTTGAAATCTATGTTAAGCATATTACAGCACAACAAATCTCTTCACAATACTAGCCAGTAAGTTTGTAGGTTTTAACAAAGCTAGTGACTACCAAATCAAGGCGTAGCATCAGTCTTCAAAGTTACTGATTGTTGATTTGAGCTGTGTTAGAAAGTACAAACTTATTGATATAAGGTTTACACGATAATTATAATCGATGATTGGAGGGATCTTGGTGAAATAACTCAAAATGTTTTACACTGACTTGGACGTGAATATAAAAACAGCCAAATAAACTTAGGTATGATCCATACTTTATAAGTAAGGACTGAAAATAGTGCCAGGTTGCCCGAACCGCAGCATGTGGCGTGGGACTCTCGCCAACAAATTGCTGTACAAGCGCTTTTGTTACTTATCTTCATTAAGATCTTAAGTCTTAGCACTGTTGCTTACATCTTTATTTTTCAGTCCAATTCTTCCTCTTCGAACCGCATTCCTTACTTTTAGTTACTTCTGGTATTATTGGAATAATTCTTAATTATTTGTTCTCAATACCTCTTCTTGATTTCTACTCTTTTTTACAAGACCATGTAGAAAATTCAGGGCTATATATATATATATATATATATATATATATATATATATATATATATATATATATATACCAAATTGTGTATTGTTTATGACTAACCCAACTAACTTATACTTGTCAATAAAAAGTAATACTCGGTATTCAATTCCTCAGAATGGTTATCCGATTGTTTTTTACTCAATTTTGTTTATTTGTGATTTGTTTAATTATTGTTGGTTATCAGTTGCTAACATATGTATGCATATTATTTGCTTCAAGTAAATGATCACCTTTTTATTAAAATTACTAACCTACTTAAGTTATATGGTCTTTGAAAACCAGAGATACTAGACAGCTGTTTCGGCTTAGTATGGGACTCCTTAGCACTGTTTGTCTAAGACCCTCCAAGGGATCGGATTCCATGACAAGCGCTCAACTTTAAAACCATTAAGCTGATATCTAGTGGTTTAAATTTTTGATCTCAATGGATTTGTAATGCTGCTCAATTAAAATATGTCGATTTTTAATCTTAGCGGTATTCAATAACTTCTATCAACTCTAATTCTGACACTTATATAGCCCTTTTTGAAGGTATGATCAAGTGCGAAATATATTTTATTAATTTAGTCCAGTACATGCAATGTAATTATGTTCTTGTCACATACTGTAAACCTTAAGATGATGTAATTTTATTATTCAAATCAGTGTAGTAGTCATATCGTTCCAGTGATCTTACAATTGAATGTGTTAGTCTTTCTCAGGTTTGAGTTGGGGGGGATTATAGACTCATTTTATTAGTTAATACATATTAGTTTGATGTATCTGTTTTATCCAACTATCTCTCCGTCCTTCGTCTAGCCAAACTGACACCACTCATTCCGTTATCGTTAGTTCTAAGATTTTATCCAAGTAACAAATAGTCCCCTGTGGAAAATAACGATTGATTAAGTAATTTATTATAACTAATTTTAATTCCTAAATAGACTGACATCTGTCTAAACCAAGGAGGAACTATGGTTTAGATCAGTAGGTGTACCATTGGAAATTAAAATTAGTTTCAAAACTTATTCGCCTCCAATAGACATCAAACACCTTATTTGTAATTTTTATTTAAACATTGGAAATAAGAAATTCAACGAAGGGATCTTTTTTTAACGAATTTGTTATCCAGCTATATATATATATATATATATATATATATATATATATATATATATATATATATATATATATATATATTAAGTAGTATTAATAGTTTTGGATTAAAATTCAATATATTCAACCTGTATTACATTCCTAGTTTAATCAAAGTCAACCAATAATATTCGAAGAATGAAGTAGTAATTTCCTAATGAATAAATCTTTTTGTTTATATCTTTACCTAAACTTCATTCAATTTAAAAGTGAAGGAAAGTTGAGAATGTTCATTTATTATGTTCATATTATTACTTGCAAAAAATAGTTTGGATTCTTTTAAAAACAATTAATTAGTCAATTAGAATAAAACAAATAAACAAAAACAATAATCTCAAATTATTATCACTTAAGTAACAATGAAAAAAAAAAAGGGTGAAATTTGTTAATGAACACAAATGATGGAAAGAAAAGAAAAAAAAGCAACAAATAAATGGTATTTCATTCTTTGTACACTTCTCTACTTAGTTAATAAACAAATGCTGAAATGTATTTATTTACACATGTTCTGATTTGTGTTTTCATCTATCGAATGTTCATTTGTTTTATTATTTGATGTTGTAATTTATACGTTCAGTAATTATAATCTATACATATCTAATTAATATGACATAAATGTTTGCTTATTTATCTCATATTTCATTTAACATTCCCCTTTTAAAAGTATACTGAGATAAATATTTATAATTTGATGTAGTGACTTGGTAATATATATGTTGTTAGTATGGCTCTTTGTTATATCCATTGAATGATCTGCTATTTGTTGCTTGTTCAACAGAATAAAACCAATATGACTATTTAAAAAGGAATGAGTGACTAAAGATGAAGATTCTTTTTGACGTAGCAATCACCGATTCAGAAATTTTATTAAAATCACAATGTTACTTATGATGTATGTAACAGATACTTGAAGAAGATTTGTAGCTTCGATAAATGCATTCGGTGTTGTTGAGTTGTGTCAGAGAGATTGTGCAATAGCAAAGTTTTCACTGTAGTCCTGAGCATCATCAACGCTTACTTTGTGTGAAAGCGCTGATGATAGTATCCAGAACGTTAATGAAAGAATTTTAATAAAACTATCTTACATAGAGAAAACAATAACATCAAAAAATAGAATTATTTGTGCTTTATTTTACATAATACACTAACAGAGCTAAATTAAAGAAAGTGATTAATTTTTATGCAAATCTTAATCCTTACTAAAGTTCTTTTCAATAGTAAATTAATTTCATTCGATTTAATAATTTGTTATTTTGAAGTTTTATTTACTCCAATGAAGAAAATTCTCTTCTATTGTATAAACCATTTTCATTTTTTTCGTTTTGTTTAGAATGGGTTAAATGCGCTTCATTTAGCTTCAAAAGAAGGTCATGCAGAAGTTGTACGTGAATTAATTGAACGTGGTGCAAAACCGAATACTGCTACAAAAAAAGGGAATACAGCTTTACATATTGCAAGTTTAGCTGGTCAATTTGAAGTGGTTAAATTATTACTAGAGGCTGGAGCTGAGGTGAATATTCAAGCTCAGGTTGGTTTATAACACTGTCTTTTTGTTGTTGTTATGCTAATAGTTAGTGTCATTCTGTAGTTTACACCATGAATTGGCCTCAATAAAACAACTATTTGAGACTAGAAGGGGCTGAACAGCTGTTTTATCCTAGCACTTAACTCTTCAGTAATGGACATACATGATACTACATGGAATTAAACCCAGAACTATCAAGTTTCTATGGTTAGTGCTAAGCATATAGAAAATTGAATTGGCATCCAAAGATTTATACTTATAAACACAATCAATTCACAATATCACTTAACCATTGTTTAATTCTATTGGTTGGTAATTGCCACCATAAATCACTCTTTTATTATTTATGAGAAATTTTCGTTTTAGTGTAGTTCATAATTGATAGCTTTTTTTCTCTCTAGGAAATTTACGTTAAGCTGATTTAGTAGAAACTCTTAAATTTCAAGTAGCGTTTTTATTGCGAAACGATATCAACAGGAAAATGATTTAAAGACAATTTAGGCTTAATACTTGTGTCATTATCATAACATACTATTCAGGAGTGCGCCGCCTACAAGTCAACATTATAGTGAAGCTATAACATCCATACTACTGATTTCAACCGCTCAACTTTGTAGTCGTATATCAAGCACCCAATATCATTGGTTGACTCAAACAATCACTGGCAACATATTAGAACTTAGTAAAATTCATCACAAATGTAGTTTCTAGAGATCATTTGACTACTAGTTCAACTAATTAATTACTTTCATACACAGTTACCAATTTCAACTCATTGATCTTCATCATATGCGTACATCCTTGCATGCGTATATATATATATATATATATATATGAACGTTGTTGTTATGATCTCTTTTCTTCTAAATCGATGGGTGTCATCTATGCATTTCTTTTATTCTTTCTACTTTAAGCACTCCATTTTGAATACACTTACACAGTTATACATACATACATGCTATATACATACATACAACATGGATACGCAATTACTTATTGGATTGACAATATAATAATATTATTTTTGGAAAAATTTATCATAAATGTAAAGTTGACTGTCTGACGGTGTGACAACACAGACAGTTGGTCAGTTTATTAATTAGCTTACTGCCGAGGAGTCCCACAATAGGACGAAACGGCCGTTCAGTGCTTCCAGGTTTTCAATGGTGGTCTAACATCAATAGGTTCATGATCTCAATCAAAAATTAGCTTACTTTTTAGTTATGGAAGATTATTTTTTACATTGACTTTATAAGTAAATTAATTTTATTGATTAATAATCAATAAAGCATAATACATACCCTAAGAAGAAATACAAAGTACTGTGTGTATGTGTTTGGCAGAAAGAAGAGACAAAAATTTACTGTCAAAATAAGTAACTAGTATGATGCACACAGTTGTAAATTGACAACAGTTGAATTTTTCATTTCACTATCTCTCCGGTTTCTATTTCTACTCTTCTCTTTCCTTATCACTAAAAATATACAGATTAGTTATCAGTAATAGAAAAAAATAAATGTAGCCGTAACATAATAACATAAAAAATATAAGTTTGCTACCAACTGTTAAAGTATCTATTCAAGAAAGACATTCTCACTAACTAATGTAAAACATGACGGATTTTTTCTTCGACAAGTTTATACCTGAATAGTTAGAATGTATATAAGAGCATAAATATGTGCGTATGTATGTATGTATGTATGTATGTATGTGTGTGTGGTCTTAAACTCTTAGAGCTGGTTTACTTAAGCGATATTAATTGTGTTTGAATTATTATTAATATGAGGTAGTTGATTGTTGTGTGGAATTAAATGATAATTTTGTTCTAATTGAATATTGTGTTACTCTCTTTAAAATGATTGATTTGCTTAAAGAGATTTTATTTTTCTGTCATTTTCAGGTATCATTAGTAGTATTAACTTTAAAAGTATTTCTTCCCAAAACTTTCTTGAAGAAAGTTTAATTCTACTTTTTCTCATGAAGATGCTGAATACGTTTGATTGTCTCAAATACTATTTTGTTATCAGTAACATAGAACTTTGTTAACTGTAAACTACTTGTTAACTTGCGTTATAAAACTGACGACCAGTTAATACGACTGCTCACACTACTACCATTTATAACAATAATGATAAATATGATGATAGTAATAATACTACATTTATTTATCTAAATACATAAACATTGGTACAAGGAGGCGCCACACTTCGTCCTTCGATTTGTATGAGGGCTTGAATACTGCCCAGGTGACCAAACCGAAGCAAGTGGTTTTCTTAGGGGGTCACACGCCGAGCCTTTGACCTACAGGTCAAATACACAAGGCAGTGGAGCTGCGTTAGGAGATGCAGTCCAATGGTAGCTGTTGACCAAAAACAGGTTTATATGCTATTTGTTATTTTAGAATCCTGGAGCTCATGCACACCATTGGTTTGGAATTAGGGTTTTCCAACTCCCCTGCGTGAATTCTCCGCGTCCACTAACCTGGTTAAAACGCCGGACATCTGCTTCTCGTCCTCTCGAGTTAGTAAACAATACCCTCACCACATGAAGGTAGTGAGTAGGGCTTCTGTGGTAGTGGCTGTATACGCGTGGCCATGTGAGAGCATTTGGAGAGGGAGACCTGGCTCTCCACACCCTTGGTCGTACCAAGGAAACTACTACTTTTACTAATTCTTTTACTCTAGTGTTTGTATTAGTACTATCATCTCATTACTGTCGTATCGTGTAGCGACTCACTTTGTTAAATTGTAACGCTTTAAGACCCTTTATATTAGTTTAGTGAAGTTAGTGTTTTTTAAGTATGTCTATTCGTTTCGATTCGTTTTAAAAGTATCAGGTATCTATAAATCTTTTTTACTGGCATTTTTACAGTTTCTTCAGTTCATAGTTACAGTTGGTCATTATTGGTCAGAGGTGCCGATTTATTCTACTACTCTAATTGCTAATCACTGCCGATGAGCGGGGTAGTAGTCGCATCACTCATTTTTTCAGTTTGTTGTTTCTTTATCTTATGAATACTTGTTTTATTACCATTTCGTCGTTTGCTTTTTTTAAAGATTAAAATTAGTTCTTACAAAGCCTTTATAAGTAAACAGTTACATCTAAGAAAAATTATGAGAATAGGGTACTGCAATATTTATAAATATTTTAGCTTTTAAGAGTATCTGTCAAATAGTCTTGTATCATAGTTTTTATTATCTGTGATTTTTTTTGTGTTGATTAACCACTATGATAGATTAATAGAAGTGGCACATTATATGCAGTCAAATATTAAATGTAATCTAATTTATTTCAGAAACGTACAACTATTCATAATTTTGCATAGTTAGAGGAGTTAAGAAGATTTTTTCACTTTGAAAACACTTCTTATCACTTATTAACCCCTGAAAACCCGAAAGTAAAAGACAAAAAATTTCGTCCTAGTTTAAGACTCTTCAGTATTAAGTACTCTTAATTTCACAGAGTATAGGAATTGTAACATGTAAGGACATCCACGGTAAGCATGAAACTGTTCATCCATTCAGTCAGTCCATCATCGGGTTAGACGACGACCATTATTCAAGTTCATCGCTATAAGCTAACTCACTGCCGATTTGGTTGACTTTAAAAACCACTATTTCCCAGTAGAACCCAGATGTAGTCACCAGGAAACATATGATTTTTTTCATTAGAAAGTTCCAACTTTCGATTTCTCATTTATTTGTTTATTATTCTGTAGTCGAACCTATGATTTCAAGGAATACTTTTTCTTTGATCTATTTTGATTAGTAGCTTACTGTTTATCAACAAAGTTCCTTCATAGAGATATTACTAACATCTCATTATTTTTGTTACGTTTTGTTTTTACTTAAAATCTTAAAAGATTAATGCTGTAGTAAAATTTAGTTTTTATTGTCTGTGATGAATCTTTCCAGGTTATTTTCATTGTTCTGAACTTCTTTACAAAGTCCTATTATATATATATATATATATATATATATATATTTCTGTGAACACAGTGGTTTGAAGGAATGTGAATCACTTTATCTCCCATAACATTAACGCAACAGCTGTGAAGGACGTTCGATAGATAAAAAAAAATCATAATCTATATCCCTCTGAATTGATGGGGATAAAATAATTAATCTGAAGGATTAAATACTTCACTAACCTAGTTTTACCTTGTCTTCAATCATAATCTTGTGTATAAATGTTAATAGTTATTAAGGTATGATATTTTAAATAGTTTAATGAACAACTCGGTAGTTAAGTATGAACGTGTATCCAACCAAGTCACTACAATTTACATTAGCCCAATAAAACGTGTTTAACAAGTTGCAAAGCGGTTGAGATGAAATTATATCGTTACTCAATTGAAGTAGTAGATGTAAACGACTGAATGCCAACCTGCTTGTTTGAAACTTGTGCGTTCGTCATGAAACTTGACGATCTCAAGTTTGATTCTTGATTAGCTTATAGATGTTCATTGTTGGAAAATTCAATACTATGTTGAAACAAATATCCATTATCTTCGGGTTTTCAATACCTGTCTATAGCCAAGGTTAGTCCGCGAAGTAAATCAAAGGTATACTGATCATCACAAATATTTTAAACAATTAATATTAGATTTCTCTTGTTTCGCAAGTTATTTTATCAAGTTAATTTCTTTATTACTAATCTGTTCTTTTTATCCCATTGATGTCTATGTATCTTGGCAACTGGAATAGCTCGATTATTGCATTAGTTATTTAAATTTGGTTATGTTTTGATCATCGATTTCTTCACTATTGTTCCTCCACTCAAGGATTCACGTGAATCTTAAGTATTGAGAGATAACTAAATAGTTGAAGCATCCACCTTTTAACTATTGATTTATGAGTGATAATTTTGAGTTCCACTCTGCATACCTTAGTTTAAATAACTGGGTAATACAGCCTATGCTCATCAGTGATTGAAGATATTGGGTAACATGACACATCACAGTGGCTCAGCTGCGTTCACTCTTTACTTTCCTCAAATTCATGAGCTACAACATTATTTGATGCATTTTATGCCCAGCATTCACCCATTCTTTTCGAAGAGCACTTTCCATTGTTGATTATTTCCCAATATCATTGATTCTATTATTATTTTGACTCATTTTTGGCACTGTTTATATTAATTCCATTTTTTGGCCTGATATGGTTACGGGAATTTTCACTAACCTTCGTTTATACCAGATTATATTAACTACGAATGAATGAATGACTAGCTTTCAAAACAAACTTTCACCATAAAGCCAAATAAACAAACTTATATTTTCAAATTATTTTATTTAAATTTACAATTATTTTATTTCATAGTTTATTAATTTATTCATTGTTTTACGTTTTATTCTCAGAATGGTTTCACTCCATTGTATATGGCTGCTCAAGAAAATCATTTGGAAGTTGTACGTCTACTATTAGCCAATGGTGCCAATCCTGGTTTAACTACAGATGATGGTTTTACACCACTTGCTGTAGCTTTACAACAAGGTCATGATCGTGTAGTTGCTTTATTATTAGAAAGTGATTCTCGTGGTAAAATCTGTTTACCAGCTTTACATATTGCATCTAAAAAAGATGATATTAAAGCTGCCAATTTATTATTAAATAGCGATGTCAATGTAGATCATCAATCAGCTGTAAGTTGTGTGTTTAAAGTGATAATTTATTTCATTTTTTATACTGTTATTCATAATAGTATATTATTTGATTAATTAGTTAATTATATGCAACCTGGCACATAAGTGCATCAATTCATATTATTACATAAAATCAGCACAACGAGATGAAATTATTAAAACATTTGCCGGATTAGAAGAAGTAGTAACCTTACGATTAGTAGTACTGGTAGAAAAGATCATACATAGCCAACATGGTTTAAAAGGAAAGGATGAAAAGTGTTTTTCTACAAACAGTAAATAAATCTATGTCATTGCCATTTGTTCTAAACTATTTCATTTAGCACCCTCAACCTTCGGTTATGATAATGTGCTTACAACTTCGTTCAGTAGTTAATGACTTCGTGGACTAATCCAACTTCTTAGTCTAACTGTCCCTAACTTTCTTTCAATCTACCCTAGTAAATATATGTTGTTGAAGTTGGCGGCGGTTTGACATTTCAATTTCAACTATGTTAAACTGCTATAATTAATTACTGTTAAACATATAACTAAGTTTTTAAAAAAACAAATAGACGGCTTCGTGTTATACAAATTTGAAAATTTATATTTTCATTAATTGTCATTTTCCCCTTTAGTTATTATTGTAATTGTAAAGTTGATATGCTATTTTACCTAGTTGAGAAGAGTAGATAGGGATGCGGTGTAAAATACTACATTGCCGAATGAAAAATGAAACTGTGAATAGTTTTTGTTGCAAAACATTGAAAGAAAATCATAGACAAATAAAGAGGTATTTTATCATACTTTGGAATTTTTTCAACAGTCCATTTTCATCACCCAGACTCGGTGGTCTGGAGGTTAAGCGTTCGCGCGCGATACTGAAGGCCATGGGTTCGAATCCCGCGAGCGGGATCGCAAATGCGCACCGCTGAGGAGTCCCATAATAGGAAGAAACGGCCGTCCAGTGCCTCCAGGTTTTCAATGATGGTCTAACATCAATCGGTTCATGACCTCAACCAAAACAACAAGTCGAAATCCAACGGTATACACTACCTAGGTTCGACTCCGTATGAGATTGTAGGTGACAAACTACTGCAAAGAATGTGTTAAGTGTTGCATGTTTTTCAAAAGTCTTCTAGCTTATGTAAATTAGAAGAGAGATCTATTTCCATGTTTAAAAAGTCTTCACAAACTAAGCAATTAAATGAAAGATAGTTCTCTGAGGTTATGATTGGTTAGTTCATAATGGCTTCTTCAATTATTACATGACTGGTTGTCAAAACGATTATTTAATTGACTTTGTAGATAATATCCACTCTATATATGTCCGAGTAGTAGTAGTAAGTATGAGAAGAATCACCAGCGTGAAATAGTATAACATTGAACAGTAGCACTGATGTTTTAAAATGTTTACTGGCTACAATTTTCTTGTTTTGTTGAGTGAAGTAGTTGACCGCATTGAATGACTCACTACTTATCTTGCAAGTCTTTTCAGCTGTAATAGGTTAGTGTTATGACGATCGGATTTTCTTCGTCTTTATGAATGTGACGTTAATTTGCCTCAGACGAATATCTACACTAGATTCCTTTCCAGTGTCTATTCTACCGGACTTCAACACAACTCAGATCAAGAACACATGATTAACCTGACTAGAATATAAATATATTTCCACGTCGAAAACCGACAACAATCCAACACAATCATAATAATAATAAGGATAAGAGAATGTGTAACTCATCTAGTACCTGTCAGACTATCTACAAATCTGACTAAGCAAACAAACAATCGTTATCATACTCGCCCACATATCAGTTAGTGTCCAATAAAAGCTTCACATGAATTCAGAATGCTCAACTAGCTTTAATCAATCTGGGTTATTTGTAGCTTAGATACATTTCTGCCAACCGAAGCCAGTTAACTTCTTAGCAGTTCATTCAGTATTATGGATGTGAAACCTGGAGTTTGAAAGTAGAAGATATTTATAGGTTTTTAGTGTTCAATCATACGTTGGTGCTTTCGAACCATTGCTCGTGTACGTTTGGACCATCAAGTGACTAGAAATGAAATTGGATGCAAATTAAAGATAGAAAATCGTTTTACAAAGTAGCAAGTCTTTGTCCACTGGAGTAGTTGGGATGGTATTACTTATGTCTAACAACTAATTCCATCGATGAACAATATAAGATGGTGTGGGAGTAGGCTAGATGAAACTAGATGCCCACAAAACAATACTTAGAACATGTCCTTAAAATCACTAAATGTTGAGTTTACCCATGCTGGTAGATGCCGACTATCATATTTAGATCTGTACGATTATCGCAACTAATGGTTGGAGACGTTAAATGATAGGAACCGAAATAAGTCGAATAACGCAGTCTTGGTTTCCCTTAGGTCTTTATGTTCTAAGAGTATTTCTAGGCGTAATCTTTTCCCCTACTAGTGATATTGGTTTCTCTTCAATTTCTTTATCACTTGTCCTGATACTTTCGTTTCTCCTTACTGATATAGTGTAACCATTCGAATTGATAAACATATGTAGCAAGTTGTGAATCCATAATAACTAACAGATTCTTCTGTCATCGTTACGAGCTTGTTGTTTAAAAATAGTTCTCACTGAGTATTGATATCAATTTGTAAAACGATGTAAACCTGGAATAACTAGATTAATTGTTTCAACTTGGTTTACAACTCCTTTGGAGTTTTGAATAATCATGATCTCGCGTGGACTGAAAACTATAAAACTTTAATATTAAATGCACTTTTTGTTATATTTATTATTAATTTTCTACCATATGCTCAATTTATTTGAAAAAACTATCAAGTTCAATCTTGGCACTGATACCCACAAAACTTTAAATTTTCATACTGAGCAATAAGACTATGCCGTGAAATTGGTGAGCTCAGAATTTCGAAATCTATGACTACTAAATTTGAACATGTAAAATTTCATATATTTCAATCCTAGATAAACAATATTATTCTTCTAATAAAACTTGAATGATTTGTTTTAATTCCCATGCATAGTTATTATTGATACCCGTAGCTGATAAACGACAACTATCCAGCACTTACCAATTCTTAATGGATTTCCAAATGACCTCATGGATATCTCCCCTAAATCATACCATTTCTTTACTAAACCACCCAAATAATTAAAACGATTGACTTGTTTCTCTTAATATTTGTCAATTATCATTTCCGCAGATTTTAATTCACGAACTGGTGATCTGAATTAGACCACTATTGATGTGAAGTCATAAATCTCCGTTGCTGAAGTATTCCATACTAGAATGAAACAGTCATCTAGTGTTTCCGGGTTTTCAACAGTAGTCTAACTAAAATCAGTTGATTTAAAATTTTAATGCAAATCGTATAGTCTTCACAAAACTTCATATTGATAATCAACATTCTGTTAGCTGTAATTAAAATCAATTTGATTCTCTTATTCATTGGATAATCCATCCTCTTTATGGTGTAAATATTTTCGATTTAATAAATATGTTGTTTGCTTTTCTCTTCATATATCTAGATATTCCTACGTGATATTATTTTAAATGAAAATAAAACTCCTTAGACAAATTCATAATAAATTATCAACAAGGGGTTGCGGAGATTGTCAAACCGATCAATGTTTGACCACCATTGAAAACTTGTGAGCACTGGACGGCTTGCCTATTGTGATGAAGCAACCGAGCCATACTTGCTGGAACAACCGTTCCTCAAGGTTCTACCATACCAGACAGGTCGTTTGAAGAGCGGTAATATTAAAACAACAAACCGAAGGTCCGAAGACGAAGTAGTACTGCTGACTGTACAGAGGTGTGACAGCAGTAAGGTGTATTCTTCAGACAGCCAGCATGACAGCGATGCTGTCTTCCCACAAGGAGGGTGGGGTTAGAAAAGGTCGACCCTAAAAATACACACCTCGCCTTATCCCACGGATATTCGTCTCCAGCGGTAAGGTCTCAACAAGTACGGAGCTGACACAAAAATTACTCATAAAAGGGTCGTGTGTGACCGACCTCAAGCAGTTGTCCCTTGGGCACTGCGATCACGCTCTCAGGTCACTAAGACCACTTCTAATCCAAATTCCTTTTCAGGTACCTCCAGAAGAACCGTTCCAAGGTGTGGGAAACCGGAAAGTGATAACCGCCCTCATACTTCTAGCAGCACTCAAGACCACTGTATTCATAATCAACCTCCCTTTGACTGACTCATCCTAGTATGGGAATCTTCAGAAGTGCTCATCCACGATCTCGCACACGGGATCCGAACCCAGGACCTTCAGTCTCGTGCGTAAACTTTTAACCTCTAGACCACTGATCTGGCACCTAACAGTATTTATGTCTAACTTCAACCAATCCACGGAATTGTGCGATCATCTTCCATTATCTTCGATGGGTAACTGCTATTCAATGCTTCCAAGTTTTCACTGGTGGTCTGACATTGATCGGTTCATGATTTCAATTTTTAGAAAATTTTCTTAATTTTTTCTTCGTTCATGTCTGCTTTGTTTTAGAGTGGATTCACTCCACTTCACATCGCTGCACATTATGGTAATGTGAATATGACTGAATTATTGATATCACGTGGTGCTAATATTAATTTTCAAGCTAAAGTAAGTAACAAGAAAATCATTTAGGATTATCTTTTCAATACTTCCAAAATTTAATAATGATCATAAATATAAATAAATATGTATTCATTTATCATTGACAATTTTTACGGAGCCTTAATTGAAAATTAATTAGTTTAAACAGTGAAACTACAAAGCTTCATGTAGAGTTTACAATTGACTGTTTATTCGCAAAGTGAACAATGTTATGTTTTTCTATTCCTTTTAGTGCTGATTGAACTCGATTGAATAATTTTAAGTGACTAGTTATTGGTTGGACTATGTTTAGTTGTTAAGCTGTCTATAGGAAACCTTACTTGACCTCGATTTTGTACTAGTTAGCTATTATTGGCAAGGTGTACCTCAAATCTTGGTGGAATAGATGCTTTCTGGAGGATTCGCTACCCAAACAGTTATGTGGCAAAGTTTCAGACCATATAGCTATGGAAGGTGGATTCAAGTCCAATAGTGACAATCAGTTCCCTCAAGTTTCTGAGTACGCCTTGCCAGTAAGTGCTAACTAGCGAGAGACCCATGTAAAGCAATTTTCACCGTCGATTACGTCCAACCGCCTGTCATCTTAAGTATGAGTCATGATCCCTAGTTCGAACCACTTTTATATATACTATGAGAATATAATCTATTGTTTATACCGTGATATCTTTTTCTTAGGGTTTTATCATATCCGTTCATCTATCAAAGGTTTATTAATTGAGAAATTTTATCAAATCATACTTCTGTATTTATTATTTATTATTCAAATATTTCAGCGTATTCAATTTCGTAAACACTGACTTATATCTCATACATTATGTTGAAATATAATCACTCGAATATAATGTCATAGGTTCGGCGGTTGTATGATCTCATGAGTGAGTATTGGTAGACATGATTTCTAAGTTATATATCGTCTCATGGTTTCAACAGATCTCAGTCCAATGTTGATTCGTCATGAGAAATAAGGTTCATTACCGTTTACAGTTTGGTTGAAGGAGTTTTATAAATTCTTGTCTAATTTTGAGGCTGTATTGGTCACAAACTGATTTCAGAGATGTCGGAAGTAAAATAATTGTTACCAGTCATATTGAATGGTCGCTTCAACATAACACAAACTAATTGAAGTCAGAATTGTCCTATTTGACAGGAATCTAGTGGTTCTGTTGGTTAATTTCTTAGTAATAACCTTGAAAACCCTGGATACTATCCCTGGTCGAGTAGTTGGTACTCACCGATAAAGAGTCCCATGCTAGAACTAAACATTATCCATTCACTTCTGGCTCTCATTGGCATCTCAATTCAAACCTGATACATCCTTCCTTTCAATTTTTACAATATGTTCATGATTATAATTTTTATAAATTTCAATGAATTACTTCTTTAAAACTGATTCATAAAAGGTTATCAATAATAATAATAATAATAGTTAACTAATAAACTTTTATTAGGAATCACAAGATGTTAAAATTATCATTAAGCATTTCATTTAAATTGAATCACAACGAAATTCCAACTTATCTTTATTGTCATTTTGCCTATAAGATAGAATGAATAATTAAACTGTTTACTTTTGCTGTATATACGAATGTAGAAAGGCACCGACTTTTGTGAAATAAATACATTTTGAAGTTATTATTTGTGTTACTATGAAGTTGTTTTCAAACATTTAATTCCTATGAGATTGATTTACGTAAATTATGTTGAAATGCTTTGTAAAGTTTTTATTTTTATTTTTACTTTCACTCACACATATACACAAACACATTATGTATGTTCTTCTTACTACAGAACAATATAACTCCATTGCATGTAGCATCTAAATGGGGTAATCAAGGTGTAGCTGAACGTTTAATTACAGCTGGTGCGGAACTTGACTGTCGTACACGTGATGGATTGACACCATTACACTGTGCTGCTAGATCTGGACATGATACAGTTGTTCAATTATTATTAAGTGCTGGAGCACATATCTCTGCTAAAACAAGGGTAAGATTTAAAATTATTTTCAATGGTGTATTTATGCAGTTTGTTTTTTTAATTCAAATGTTTGTTGTACAGGATTTCTTTGCAGAAAAAAGAAATCACTTTTAATGTTTTACTCAGTGGTTCCGAAGTTTGACTTGATTTATTTGGACCAGTCAAGTTCAGTATTTTTAATGATTCTTTGATAAAAAATATATGATTGAATTACTAGTATATGGATGTACATTTGGTTACTTTTTCTAATATTTTCAAATAACATTCAGATGAAGACTATATTTTTCTTTACATCATCGGATAACATCAGAAGTTGTTTAATAGATGGTAATTTTTGTTATCGTTAAAATTGAATGTTGTAATTCTAAACACTTTACGAATCTGTCTTATCTGATACTGCTGAGAAGTCTTATACTAGGACGAAATACCCATCCAGTGCTTCCAGGCTTTCAATAGCTTAAATCAACCATTAAAAATTACTAAATCTCTACTAACCCCTATTCTAATCACAAATAAAATATGCACACAAAAAATATATTGCATCAGTTGATATATTAGTCCAAAACAATTAAATTTCACCACGATGTATTTATTCAATAGTTTTCTTCACGGATTGATATAATAAAGACAAATATGAAAAACTAGAAAGTAGTAGAAAATTGATTCGTCCAATTATCGGAATCTTTAGCAGCATGCATTTACAATCCTTTCAAGACTCGAACCCAGGACTATCATGTCACCCACTATAGGCATTGAAAGATGGTTTTGCACCATCAAGAGTATTTGAAGTGAGAAATGTGAAAAAAAATATGTGATCAATCTCTCGTCACGAGATCTAGAGGTCTTGCGTTTATTACTTGATGAAGTCATGGTTAGTCATTGACGAGGAGTTCTGTGTAGAGGTAAAAAAAATTGTCCAATACTTCTTGATTTCCATTGGTTGTGTAGTTAATGTCACTTTTGGATGTAAGTAGTCAGGAATTCAATTATTAAAGAAAGAATTCTAGATGTTTATGCACTCAACAATACTAGATAATATTGCTTTTATGTACACAATTTAATAACTTTGAAATGATCAAGTGATAGGTACTTTTAGTTTAAGAAACAAAGATCTGTTTATCATGATTTGCAAATGATTTTTTAAGAAACTTTATATAAACTTTACATAATGTTTTTATTCAGACAAATTGTTCATTGAATATTTTAGTAATAAGAATGAAGTTTTACATTTGTTTGCAATAAACAATGTATCTAATCAATAAAGCAGCTTTCAACTGTTTCAATCATGTTTTAAATGTGGAATACTGAAATTCTATGTTCATCTGACATGAATTTTTTACTATGGAGAGTGTGATATTGATAGCACTAGCTAATCTTAACACTTTCTACATTTAGTTAGTCATTCGTAAGCAGCTTATTACCTGATACATATGTGAATCGATTCAACTTGATACACTAATTCAATACAGAGAGAAGAAATTACCAAGAAAAATATCAAAATAGAAGTAGTATCATTATCAATGGCATTACAAAATTTTAGGTAAATTCGATATAATTCTAGAAAAATGATCGTTTGCAGAACGACAATTATAAGGACATTTAAAACTCAACATCTAAGGCAAGATGAAGGATGAATGCATCTGTGTTACTGAAATTTATTCTGAACCATGTTATCCAAAGTCTCCAATCATTGGTTACGATATTTTTACAGATCCGAATATGTTAGTCTTCATTTACTAACGTTTCTGAATTCATCAGTTAATGACATTATGGACTGATTTCATCCCCTGGTTTTGCCAGTCCCTACTTTCCTTCACCTTACTGCTATACTGACAAGCATCTCTACTTTGGTACAATTCAAGTTAGCGTATTTGCCAATAAACTTAAATCAAGGATAAATAAATGACGCCAAATTATATGAGTCCGTACATGTTCTCATCATTGCAGTTACTGATGAAAGGTTAAAATTTCTGCTATACATGATAGTATACAATGATACAATATTTATGATACAGAACTTGATTTTCTCTTTGGATTTCGTTAAATATTCAGTTTAACAAAAAATTATTCTTAATTCAATTAATCTTAAATTAGATTTATGTAAACAAAGTGAAATTCTATGCCATGTGCCAAAACACATAAATGATGATGATTAAGTTGTATTATTTTTCGAATTTCATAATTTCCTGATAAAATTTTATTGATTAGTTCTTTTTTTACACATGACCATAGTGTGTACATGTGACTGAAAAAAAGGAACAAATAAAGTTATTAATAGTAGTTCTACATGGAATTATAAGATCTTGATAGTCTCTATATACCATTTGCATAATAATGTAATACAGTGTATAATTGTGTTGGATGCTACTTGTGTTGATAGATATAGGTAGTATGTAACACTAATCAGAAGTGGAATATGTGGTAGCAGAAGATTTTTAGAAGATTGAACTAAAGAGAACGGGAATATGAAGAGAGAGTAATTGCAGTAGCAACGGGATTGAAGGAACGATGAAGTTTGTAAGAGACAAGTGATGGAAGATATGCAAATGAAGTGTTTACTGTCATAGTTTCCATATTTTATGAAGACACTTTGTAATTTTGCATTCAATAATTTATTCTTCCTACCTAAGTGTTCTTTCACTACATAATAACTAAATGATTGTAAAACCATACAATCTATATGGTCAAACTAAGTTACAACGAAAATTCTTGTTCAATTTAACATCGACCCATCTGTTCATTATCCTTACTTACGCATATATATACATTAGACAAAAGTACTGAAAATCAACTGTTTTTTGTTTGTCCTCTATTATTTACAGTTATTGAAACGTTTGAATTTCAATAACAATACATATGTGAACCCTTTTTTATTGTTGATTTATGCCGTAACTTTCATTTAGAGTGGTTTAAATTCATTACATATGGCAGCTCAAGGTGATCATGTAGATACTGCACGTTTACTTTTACAACATGGAGCACAATCTGACGATCCAACAATTGACTTTTTAACCGCATTACATGTTGCTGCACATTGTGGTAATGTACGTGTAGCAAAATTATTACTTGAGCGTGGATGTGATGTCAATGCAAGAGCATTGGTAAGTTAACTTTGTATTCAGTTTTCTCCGCTATCCTTTAATTAATTAAGTCAAAAAAATACATTTGGTGATTTTTCTAAAATGCAACGTTGTTTAGATTTCTTAATAGGATATACTATGAATGTAATTATTATATTCATACTGTATTTGATTTAAATTTCAGGTGTTATCCTTCCAAGTTAATGAGTTAATAAAGTCATATTATTTAGTTTCAAAGATCTCTAGATTTAAACTACATTTCAATATCACATACTTATAAATAAAGATAAGCATTGATTTATTTTTATGGAAAGAAGCTGTTTTGACAATTCATTTTTGTATTGTTTGTTTGAATCTTCCCGTTAATGTTTAGGACTGTAATTGATCAGTGTCTTATTGGTATATGCGCATCTTGTGCGGATTGCCTCGATATTGCTTTAAATCAAAAGCTTTATAAACAGAGATGGATGGTGGTTGATAGTGGGATCCAGGACGCGCGTTTTGTTTTATTGAGGATTCGTCGGATGGATGTACCTGCGTTTGAAGCGAACGGTAAGGGGATCAAGTCCCAGAGTGAACGTCAACTCTGGGATGCAGGTACATCCAGCTGACGGTTCTTAAATAGGACGTGACGCCCGTCCTGGATTCCACTGCTAGCCATCATCAATCTTTTCTTCTATCGACAATATTTTGTTATTTTTGTCTTGTATCCAAAAATGGTATTAAGAAAATTCACTCTTTGGACGGTTGATATTTTCAAGTTAACATCATAGACTGGTCACAGTTAGACAACCGTTATAAACTATGAACTATTGGACAGCTGTTTTGTTTTAGTTCTGGACGATTCAGCAATAAATAACTATTCAATGAGAATCTAGTGCTTTAGTCTACTGAGTCAGCATTAACTTGCTTCCGAATTCGATTCTCGGTAGGATTGTGAATACAGACCGATGATAAGTCTCCTACCAGGATGAGAACATTGTCCAGCGCTTCCTGATTTACAGTGGTTGTATGACTGAGAAAAGCTCGTGATGTAAAATGCGAAATTCAAAAAATCTTCATAAATTTCCTCTAATTACACCTGTTATTTGTTGAAAGTGTAGGAGTCACGTTACATTAATATAAGAAAATATTTTTTTAATATTTAAATTAATCTATTGTGTATTTAATTATCAGTTGAGATGACAACGAAGGTGCGAATAGATTTGATTAAATAAATAAAAATTAAAAGAGATACTTGATGATTGACCCTTTACCCAGTACATTTCATTGAATATTAAGATAACTTTTCCCAATATTTTGTAGGATGACAAAAAAACAAAAAAATTTACTGTAAACGAATTCTTGGTCAGTTTAGTTGACATAGCATTATTACTTAATGAATTCAATTTGTAAGTAATAAGATACTACTTAATAATTGAGATAAATTTTGGTTAAAATTTAATTGTTGACCTTAAATAGCTTTGTATCATTTGCATTCGTTGATAACTTTACTAGCAAAACAATGCTTTAATCTAAAACAATTAGTCCCTTTGATAAATTTCGATAATGATATGAGAAGACGAAGATTAACAGAACTATGTGATATATTAGCGCAATACATTTCGAACAATCTGGTCACACATATACTTGTTAAGAGCGTTTATATATAAAAATAAAAGGTCAACTAGACAGGAAACGGGGTAAGAGTAATAATAATAATAATGTGTAAGTATTCTCTAAAGGATTCCTTTGAACTGGTTGATCATTTAGATGATATTAATATCAAGGAAAAACAATGTGTTCATTTGATGTAAATTCCTTGTTTACAAATGTACCTTTAAAAAAACCATTGATATATTATGTGATTACATATCTGAAAACAATTTTCAATCACGTGTACCTGTAAAACTTCTTAAAGATTTACTATTACTATGTACTGACAAAGTTCAGTTCACTTTTGAAGGTGAATACTTTCGTCAGATTGATGGAGTTGCTATGGGTAGTCCGCTAGGACCATTACTAGCAGATGTGTTCATGGCACATGTTGAAAATCAGACTGATGAATTAATCGGAAACATGTCACTTTATAAGAGATATGTGGACGATATCTTAGTTGTTTGTGAGAAAAAGAGGATATGTACGGTTTATTAAATAAACTCAACACTCTCCAAAACCATATTAGTCTCTCATGTGAAGAGGAGAAAAACGATCAGCTTCCCTTCCTAGATATACTCCTGAGTAGACGAGAAGATGGTTCAGTAAAGCGATCTATTTTTAGAAAACCAACGTGGACAGGTCAATATCTTAGTTATTATAGTTATTGCCCTGTGCAATACAAACGTGGTTTGATAAGGTGTCTTTTCAACAGACTCGACCGTATTTGTACCAATGACGCCATTGATGATGATGTTAAGTTGTTAAATAAAACGTTAATAGAAAATGGCTATCCTCTGAAATTCATAAATAGATGGAAAGTCCATGGTTCAGCGAGACCTACTGTAGCCTCGGTAGAGAAAAAGCCTGTCTACATCACCTTACCATTCAGAGGTGATTCAAATAGCCTTTTACTGAAACAACGACTTAAATCAGTCATCAATAAAACCTATTGCGCAGCAAAGGTCATCATCAAAGAAAGAACAAGGTGCATGCTTCATTCAAAACCTAAAGTACATGGAAACGATTGCGTCACATCCCACTGTGTTTACCAATTTAAATGTGTGTGTGGTCACACATACATAGGGAGGAGTAATCGTGATCTCAACATTAGGGTGAGTGAACATGTACCCAAATGGCTTCAGAAACAAATACAATCAAGTGACCCAATAAGAGCAGAGGATAAACATCCATCATCCTCTATTGCTAAACATATAATTGAAACAGGTCACAAGATTGATCTAAATTCAGCTTTTGTAGTGCTGTATAAAAGTGTAAAAGGGCGTATACTAAGGTTTATTGAAGCCTTAGCCATACGAAAATTCAAACCCCCTTTATGTGTTCAAAAACAGTTTGTTCTTACCTCTACCCTGGTAATATTGACTTATTATCCAGAGTGATTAGGTTTCGCTTTGTGTTCACATTATTATTATTATTACTCTTATCATTATCCTTATCTCCTCTTACCCCGTTTCCTGTCTAGTTGACCTTTTATTTTTATATATAAATGCTCTTAACAAGTATATGTGTGACCAGATTGTTCGAAATGTATTGCGCTAATATATCACATAGTTCTGTTAATCTTCGTCTTCTAATTTCATTATCGAAATGCTTTAATCAGTATGAATGTTAAAGACAAGTCTGAAACTTGATAATCCATATTATACTTAGCATAGAAGTAGAAATACATTAATTATCAAAGGAGAACTTCATTGTTGAAAATTCCTCTACTTACAACTTTATAGATATGAGACTCGAGTATCATCAATAAATATTTAAAGCGTTACTCATATGTAGGCAGTTTACTAAGTAAGTAATGTTTACATTAATTGTATGTTAGCCAATAGATTTTTTACATTTGCAATCATCAAAGTGTTTAGGATAGAAACCATCTACTTAAGCTGTACATTCGTATATATAGTTATATGGAAAATGTATGTCTATAGAAGGTTTGCATCATAAAATGGATTCGAGACTAGATAGCAAACGAGGTTACACACTAATCAATGGGTAAGGAAGAAAATAATTTACGGGTCAGATAATTGTCCAGTTGACAGAAAAAACGACAAACATAAAGGTCATGTTAATAAACTGAATAATAATCAAGAAAACTTGCATAAGGTAATAATAACTGATTAGAGTTTAAAATTGCAAAATAATAATTTAAAAAATCCAATAATAATCAAATAAAAGTGCAGAAAGAAAGAAAGAAAATACCCAGAAACATACCCATTAACGGAATTAGGGCCAAGGAAGGATGAGAGGCTGGACGAATCGTTTTTGAACACAAATTTTGGGCTTGAGTTCATGGATTGCCAATGCCTCAGCAGTGCATAAATTATTGATTCTATACTCCTTTGATAGATGTTGAATACACCAAGCCATGGTCTGTTTTATATCTCGATTGTGTTTAAATCAAGAGTCTATCAGAATAAATCATAAAACTACAATTCGATTTGATGTTAAGCTGTGTGAATAATAGGTTGACTTCCTGAGTACTGTTCTTACAATGTTAAAAATTAGTTATTAAAGAACCTAAGTTGATATAATTTAATGGATTATTATTTTTTGCTTTCAGTATTCTTCTTCTTCTTCTCCGTTTCCATTTCTTCAACTTTTAATTAACCTATTTCTTTATCATTATTTTTGTGATTAATTTTCTTTGTTTCTTGCATTGTATCGACAATGATTTCTATCATTATTAGAATCTTAAATCTTTAATTATGAATTAATTTTATTTGTCTATTGAATTGTTTCATTAAAACGTGAACATGATCTATGTTTATGTAGAATTAGGAAACTGTTGAAATTCTTCTCTCTATTTCAATGAATCCTAACAATATTTTCTGTGAATAATTAGTTTCATATATAAAATTATTTTATTTTTCGAATTAGTTGTCACTTGAAAATTGAATTTAGTTAATAAGTTCTAATATATATACATATATCTAACTAGGTCAAAACTTCATATGGCCTTTTCTATTTATATCAGTTTTGGCATATTAGTTATGTTGTTAACCATTACTTATTATTATTATTATCAATAATAATAATAGTTATTTCTCTATATATTTGTATGTATTGTTTTATAATGAAAATAATTCATAAAAATGCACTGAGTTGTTAGTTAGTTAGTTCAGTTTGATTGTCTTATTGACATTTGAATAAATGATGCAAAAAAAAAATAGAGACTAAATGAATTAGGATATCAACTTCATATTATGAGATAAGAACAATTAAAACATGAACTTTTCGCTAATGGTTTTTGTCAATTAACAATGAAACTATAGTAGTGTATATCTTAATGACTCGTAAAAAAAACTTGTTTACATCTTATTGAAACTGGATATTCTTGAACAGTTTTTTGGTGGAGTTGAGTTCTTTGA